ACACAAACAAGTACTCTCTCTCTCTCTCTCTCTCTCTCACACACACACACACACACACACACACACACACACACACACACACGCACACATACACGTGTACGTGCGCGCGTTACACAGGGTAGCAAATGAAACGTGAAATTCTGTGGATCAGTATTGATCCTAACTTTTTATTGAATAAAAAAAGTAATAAAGAACTCAACTTTTTCTTTGTGATTCTCCATATTGAATATAATGGCCAGTGTTCTTGATTTTCATACATTGCCTGGTGGCGCAGCAAAGAGTTTTGTTCTAATTTTTAATCCCCCAGCACAGATGCCACAGTGATAACAATGTGCTATACTCTGAAATGAAAAGGCTCACCGGGAAATTATTGTAGTTTTATTGTAAACAAACGAGATATTTCCATCGGTCGTGTAATGGCAAAGCGCTTCCCAGCTGGATTCAAACAACAGTTAATCGTTTCCCACATACAGCTATTTGTTTCTTATTTAATTTTAGGACCTCCGCCTTTCTGCTTTGATCAAATAGGTTATAGATTTCTATACATTGTAAGTGCCAGAGCACTTGCTTCTGAGGACCTATCTCCTGTCTTTTCACGTAACTCGTGGATTCTTTCTAATAACCAAAACATACTTCTTTCCACTTGTGAGCTTACTTCAGTTTTAGAGAAATATGTAATGTAAGTATTATTTTTTCTCACATACATTTTACTACAGAACAACTTTTTAGGTTGAGCGTTTTTGTTGTATATATTATCTATGAACAGACGTAGTATTTTTAAAAACAATCTTTGCCGTAACAGTATTAGGCTTGATTACATTCAATAGTTTTTAGTGTGAGCTCTGGATCCTCATTACATCGATAAAGAAGGCCTTTTTTGACGTAACGCGAAGTTAAAAGTTCCCAAAACTGCCAATAGATTCTAAATTACTTTGTTTTTTTCTCCCAGGTTGTTGTTGGTCTGCTTAATGAAGCAGTCACGTGATGGACAACCCAGCCAGATTTCACTGCAGTTGGGCAATCACAGTGCAACGTTAACATGAAACTCACTGGAGAGGGTCAAAAGCTGAGTAAACATGCTCTTCATCGTGCCATGAAGCTACAGGCAAACAGACTATCTGACATGTGAAACTCATGTGCTCCGTCGTAGATCTAGTGTTTTCATTTGTTTCGTGTGTTGGCCAAAACTATAATTTTTCTTTGTTTATATTTGGAGGTGAACAATAGGCCAAGAATTCCTTCCTCAAAAGAACTTTGGGGATATTCTCTTCTGGATTGGATTTCACCCACCGCAGGATTCGGCTCGTTCGTCAATTCGGTGAAAAAAACCCTTGCCTCTGAGCAGGGAAAAACCATTAGACCTGTTCCGTTGGGGGGCATTCTGCTGGTCAGGACTTTGTGGCTGGATGTCGTGTAATTGGAACTTACGTCTGACGATGAATCCCTTTGTGGAGCGGCGCTGGTGTATTGTTCCACTTGTGATAGCAGTGTATGCGTGGACGACAGCAGGGACGCAAGGTAAAAAGAGGGACATTTTCCAGTTTCGGACTTTTATTCACATTCGCTGGATTCGGGTAACTAGGGTTAGGGTTTGGGTTGAAGCTAACCCTAACTTTAGCCCAAACCTTGGATGCTGGTAATAAGAATTAAATTAGGGTAAGGGTTAGACTTAGGGTTAGGAATAGGGTTAGGTAAGGTTAGGGTTAGGACTTTACCCTAACCCTAACCCTAACCTGTGTACCTGAATTCAGCAGATGTGAACAAAACCTTGCAAATTGGAAGGTTGCCTGGGGGCCAAGATAGTGGAATATTAGGGAGTTGATCTATATAATGTGTCACGTTCTCAGATAAATCCTGATATCATTTAGGTCGTAGCTGTTGTCCTCTTTAGGGGTATAGGGG